GGCTTGTTTATCCATTTGACATGGTTTTCCTGAAATCAGCAACAAGTTTTTGATTGTTCAAACATGAAAGATGACCCTTTGTGTACTCCAAGTAACTGAAGAGACTAGATCTGATTTCTTATGAATTCGATTCGACAATATGGTCTAAGATGAACAGATCTGATGTTAGAAGTTGAAAAGTTAACTTGATCCAAATGGTTTATGATGCAACAACTATTAAGAGATTCAATAGAATTCTGATCTGATTGTAATTAGCAAGATAATAGATCGAAGCAACAAGGATAGAAACAACCTGATGATTCGATGATAACACCGGATTTTGACAATTTTTATGGATCACTTTAATATTTTTTGCAGGTGTTTTTACTCCATTTTCAAAGGTTTTCAAAGGATTTCTATGTTTTCGGATTTTAAAAGACTTTTCAGGTAATTTGGGATAAAGAGGCATAAATTGGAACAAAAAGACTCTTTTGGATAAATGCAGACCATCAGAACTCTCATGGAGAGACGAAGACCTTCTCACCGTCTAATCACCCTCAAAATTGGATAACTTATAGAAGAATCAACCAGCTTTCAAATGCATTTGGTTTGGAGACATTCTAACGGTTGGATCTCAAGATATTCCATTTGCCTCAGAGACACTCAAAGACGACCAGCAAGTCTCCCTACCGCGGCCACCGACCCATCCACCACGGTCACGAGCTGTAAGACCGCGACCAAGCCTCTATTTCACGGGGCCACGTTACTCTCGACCGCGGCCGGCCAACTCCGATTAAAAGCCCATATTTCTGAAGCCCAAAGTCATTTCTCTGCCTCAATTCCGGAATCGTAGAGACCATGGAGTATTGAAGACTATAAATACTTGTCATTTATGTCGTTTTTAGACATCACCTTCATACTTTTACAAAAACCCTTTTCCTTCGGCCGTTTTATGCGATTTTTAGAGAAGATTGTTTAACTCTGAGTTCTTCAATAAAGAAGCTTTCTTTCATCTCTTTTCTTTGCTGTTTTTGATTGCTTTTAACACCAATGATGATGTCGACCTCAGCCATGTCTGAGTAGATCCCGAGTTGAAATAAGGGTTCCCGAAATGGGCTCTCATAATCGATTAAGACATCTAGGTTTATAGATCTGGGATTTTAACATTGTTCTATGTTTATTCTCGTCCTTATTGCATGTATGCTTGATTGATCACCTCATATCTGATCTAGATAGTTAGTGTTGCAAAAGTTTTCATTAAGTATCCGACCTAGAATGAAACAGACGATTTTTCCGTAGGAGTGGAAACCTACCTGCGGAGAAATCATGAGTACTGACGAGTCCTGTGCAGCTCTTGCATTCTCTCCCTTCTAGGGCCAGAGTGGAAACCTACTGGTCAGGGTTGCGAGAAACAATTGGTTATGATCACGACAGTGACGTAGTCATACCGCTGTACTCTAGCTCTAGAACCCTATATTACGATACCCGTCAATCCCAATCTATAATCCCTAGTGTTGAAACCGATTATGATCCCTGTAGAGTTCCCAAAAGCTCAGCATTTTTAGCCATAGTTTACAAACTAATCGATTTTTACTTGCTCATTTAGATCTGCATTTTATTTGATTTAGTTCGATATTCTGCTTGTTTCATTTGCCTTTCATTCGATTTTCTACTTGCTCTTTAGGATATATTTATTTGCCTTCTTTAGTTTTAGTTTAATCCGTGACAACCAACCAATCCCTAAAACCAATCTAGTCTAGACATAATATTAGAAACCGTAGAAGAATACCAGGCACACAAATCTCTGTGGATTCGATCCCTAAGTACTACAATTGATTAGCTGTGCACTTGCTACTTTCATTTGTTTTTATTAAGGGTAAAACTTGTTCCCTCACGCAGTAGACACATCATTTGACGATCCAATGGTTGAATGTTTGCTCTGATACCACTTGATGTGTTTCTCAATAGAATCATCTCCCTAGATCACACTCAAGCACTCGATTGGAACTGATAATCCTTGCAAACACAAAAGTTTCAAGGCGTGTGGACTTGATAAGACTCCAAAGGTTGCAGAAAGACCTTTGATGAATTTGGTTTGATTTTCCTCACTGCATATGACTCACCAGTCAAAGAGAACCGAGGTTCTTGAATGATATTACACACCAACAAGAGATTTGATCTTAACTTAGAAAGAGATTTTTGATAAAAAAAAAAAGATAAGATAGTTTCTCAAATGAGATTACAAGAGGATATAAAGAAGTAGAAGAGAGTCTCGGCCAAAGCAATAAACATGTCTCAAAAATTACAAGTGCAATCTGTCTAAGTTTGAATTCAAATGCTTCCATACGCTCCTCTTCATGGCCGACTCTTTTGGGCTGGACTTAGTGGACTTAGATGCTTAAGTGATCCAACTCTACCTCATTAAAACCCCATCACTAGAAAATCCATTGGGACAAAACTAATGATGGGAAAAAAGAGTACAAAATTGGATCACAAGTTCACTAAGTATCTCGGACTTGGATCACAACAAGAGTGTTTGAATAATATTCTTTTACCTTTGAACTTGGTTGGCTGATGATGTTGCTTACGACTTCTTTGAGTCTTCTAGACTTGGCTCTAGTCATTGGGCCGTTTGCTACTTGCAATGCTTCCTCAGGTTCAAGCTCCTTAGCTACAAGTTCCTTGTCTCCAAGCTCTGGTTCAAGTAAGCTTTCCATGATCGCATCAAAAAACATTTTAGAATCTATTTAACAAGTCCACATTTAGCTTTGCTCTCTTCTCATGCTGTCATTTTAGCATCTATGTATACACTATTAACAAAAAATCTGAATATTAAAATATAAATACACAAACATATTCACGCTAATATGTATATATTTAAAATATATAAAAAAATCAGTATTGAATATTAAAGTATGAATACACAAACATATAACATATGTATCTATTAAAATACAAAAAAAATCTAAATTACATAACTGAATATAAAAAATAAACCTAAGAAAATATATTCATGTGAAGACGAACCATAGACAAAAGAAATAGAATAATAAAGGAAAAGAAATTGAAAAAACAAATGCGAGAGACAACCAAGATAAAGAGATGATCTAGAAATAGAGCCATAGGAGTACATTAATGTGGGAGATGAAGAAAAAAAAGGAGTTGGAAAATGATGAAAGAAAAATGTAATCTGGTTTTTTTTTTTTTAAATGACGGTTTAGATGAGAATGGAAAGAAATTACGTGAAAGAAAAGTATAATTAAATTTTTAATTTTAATGATGATGCGTCTAAGGAAAAAAGGATAAGCCCTAAGGAGATGTTAAACATCATAACCATCTGATAGTAAGTGATAGTAATCGAAATAAGAAAAAATGTTCAACAAAAAAAATGTCCAAAAGTAAATGAAAATTTATTTTACTATACTTTCAAATTTGTATTATAACACAATAATATAATTTTAATTTAAAAATAACATAATAATCTTTTTTTTTTTAAAAACACCTAGTATTGTAACAAATTAAATATATATATATATATAACTAATAGAGAGCATTTATAAAACAGAATTTACATACAGTAAAATTTCTAATAATATACCTACGCGTAGCATGGATCAAATTCTAATATCTGTATATATAAAGAAGAATGTCCTCTCTTTATAGGCTGTCACATTAATAATTCATACTCTAAATTAGTGACACATCAGCACTTATGTATTGTCCTTTAATCTCATCCAATACTTGACCAATTTATTTGACCAATAATCAAATAAAATAATCATTGCCTCCTTTCCTAATATTTGATTAAGAAAAACAATATCTACCCAAAAAAATGAATATAAAAACATCATGTAGTCTTCGAAAATGATACATTTTTTCTAAAACAAAAATGATAGCATATAACCATAATCTAACACTATAAAAACATAAGACTATAAAAACATAACACCACAACTGTGAAAACTAGAAATTACAACACCAGGAAATTTTGGAAAGATTTCAAAACATTTACTAACCACTATACACGGACTACATACCACGGGAACGTCAGCAAAGCTCTAAATTTTACCCCATAGCGACAGTGGCAATGGAATTGTTTGAAATAGCTCAGAGTCTCACGAAAATAATGAATCCGGAAAAGTGATATATAAAACTGTTGGAGAATTGCACGATTCAGAGTTAGAAGCGAGTTGGTGATAATCGGAAACATTTTCGGCGGTTTTCTTAAACCAGATCGGAATTTATTTAAACCTGACAAAGATGAAAATTCACATACTTAATTAATGTTGAAATATGTGGTTTTGTATTTGGTTCGTACATTTAATAAAATTTATGAAGCCCTAGTTGCGTCTTTCTTTTTCTACGGTTTGGGTTTTCTTTATGTATCAGTTGCGTCTTTCTTTTTCTACGGTTTGGGTTTGTGTTTGTGGTGGGGTTTAGATTGGGAATAGAATAATAAGGAAGAGGATACACGTGCGTCCAGCAGTCAAGGTGTGTTGAAGAGTTCAAACGCAGGATAAGCTTAAGGCTGCAGCCAAAAGCCAGAGGAGAGACAATCAGCACCAAGAGACAGCCCTTAAGATCCCAAACACTCATGCTTAACCACAACCGGTTCAACCCGCATCTCGGTCCAAACGGGAAATCACTGTTTCGAAGTCCGGATAGGGATTGTAATATATCCACCGGACATGTCATTGCAAAGGTAAAAGAATGGATTGGGCGTAGAGATACATATACAGTATAATCTAAAGGAAAAGCTGATAAAGCTTGTCTTCTGAGTAATCGCAGTTCTTGAATATATATATATATATATTTATGGTGAATCTACAAGTTGTTGGCCGGTTCACCACTATCTGAATAACATCCGCAGATTACTCTTTTGCTAGACTCAACTTGTTTATATTGTTGTTAGGCTTGGAGACTCCATATGGTTTTCATGTAATAATTAAATTCAACTACGTAAATAGTTTATATAATCTACATATGCGAGCAACACTAACTCTACTTAACCCATCTCTTAGCCCTGTGCTTTGGTCATTCAAACTATAAATTTGTTACCCTTACATGCAAACTCATATTAAGACGATCTGAGAAAGTAGATGATTCAAATGGAAACGACACGATTCGTAAACTCTCTGAAATGTGAATCAATTTAAAAAAGGATTTGAAGCAAAAGGAAGAGATGCAAAGTCTGATTTAGATGTTACATAGAAAAGTGATCAGTCGCGTTCACTGATGGCGGTCAAATGCTCCTCGATCTCCTCGGTTTCCAGCGAACGGAAGATAGGGTTATCAGCTTTCACAACTCCCACCTGCAAAAACAACAGTGAACAGTTTCATTTCGACAGAAGTAAACCAAATCATTCCCATTGCGTCTCCCTGTCACATGCAGCTATTTTCTTCCTAACGAAGATATAACTCTTTGGCCAAAGTGTATGTATTAGAGAGAGTGGTGAACTGATACCTCAATCTCAGTTGCCTTGAAGTCCTCTTGAAGAACAGATTGCAGAGCGGATATAGCAGTCTACAAAAGTATAATAACAAGAAAAAATCAGAGATAATGAGCCACGGTTGTTTCAGACTCTTGGTGCTTCGTGCGTTCCTGTCATTTTAAACCCTACTCTAAAAAAATAAAGCTATTCAAAAGTGTATGCAAATGAACATAGCAAATGGTGACCATCACCACCAGTAGACAAACACATGCTGCTTCCCATTTACAACTATGCAAAAGGAGGGAAAAATATCTAAGAAAGCTTGGCCATAAGTACCTGCACGGTTTCATCATATGTGAAGGCAGGGTTTTCTTTCATTTTCTTCTCCAAGAAATTGATTGCTTCTTGTTCTTTCATACCAGCACTAGTTGCCTGCATCATATGTTTGCTTAATTATTATTTTAGACACTATATAATAGAAGCCTCTTATTCTTATGGAACAATAACATTTAACACTATAGCCTCCTAAAATCGTGGGTGCAAGGTCCAGGAGTAACATAATTACCATGTATGTAACTAGATCATATTAATATTGACAGTTTTTTCATTACACTCTGGTTAGATAAGATTGATAGAAAGCTAAATTACAGAAGAAGCAAGTGCAAGATAGCAGTAATACATTTTCCGCACAGTCTTATATCCCGAAGTTTTTTCTTCCATGTTACCAAATGCGGTAGTCTAGATATCAATATAAGCGTAAGACAGGAGGCAGAGGCTTATTTAAACATAACAAGTAGAGTGTTATTACCTTGTGACCGTAAAAATGCCCGGCTGGATCACACTTGTAAAGTAGGGGTCCTCTCTCTTCATCAATACCTAGAACCATGGCAACTTCAGAAAGGCAAAGAAGACAAGAATGAGTCTTTTGTATACAAATAGATATAACACACGCAAATGCATTGGGAATAAGGAAGGGATTGCAAACTTGCCTACTCCAAGGGGTCTCATGTAAGCATGTTGAGTGTAGACCTGTGACTTATCTGCAATCCTGTCAGCACAAATGTTCATGATTAAATGAGGAAGATTTAGAGTTATAGCTTTAATATCCCCAATAACTAAACATATATAGTATACCATTTAGCGAGAATGTCTGCGGGCATCTCGTATCCATATTGGAACCTAAACTCAGCTGCCTCATTCCTTGCTTGTGTCACCAATGACCTTGAATCAGCTGGAATTCCATTACAAGGGTACATGTTTTTAGATAAACACCCAAAGCAATATACACAAGCTTTGCAGGAATATCGAAATCGATCATAAACTCTACAATCTAGTAACTTTAATCACAAAAATTTCAACGAGCATTGCAATATTGTGGAGATATTATACAAACCTGTCATGCCTGTGGCTAACAATCCAAGGTACTTAGTCACAGGGAAAAGGTGAGATACGCTTGACTGATCTAGAAGCTTGTCCTGCAAATTTACAAAAACATGAAAGCTCAGGTAAGTCAGAACTTCAATGGACAAAAAGGAGTCAAAAATCTCAAATTTATTGGATCCCAAAACACGAAACCCTCACTCGTTCAAAACCCATTAAGCGAATCCCATAGATCTACGCCCTAATACAAGATGCAAGCTTCTCGCACTTCGACCCAAAAACCCTAAATCGTCAAAAAAGGGGACTCACCGGAACTTTTTTCTGGGTAACGACGCAAACTGAATCTTTCCCTCGCACACCGATCGATGTGATTCCAGCTGCTTTCACGGCTTTGAATGCATATTCTACAAAAATCCGTAACTAGTATGAGGGGAAACGAGAGAAAAAAAAAGCTCCAATAGAGTAAGTTTGAAGGATACGATAACTGACCTACTTGGAAGAGACGACCTTCCGGCGAGAAGATAGTGATGTGACGATCGTATCCTGCGCCGCTTCCTCTGCTCATGATTCTCTCAACGAAGATTCACTAAGCTGAATAAACCCTTCTTCTCAATCGGATTTCAATTTTCTTTTTTTTGGTTTCTGTGATCTATCGAATGGGACGAGAGAAAGAAATAGAAGAAGAAAGCTTTGCCTTCAAGACAGAAAATTATTTTGCTAAGGGTTACTTTTAATTTCCTAATATACCCTTAAAAGTTACACTATATTACATTTCTGAATTCTGGCACTCTTTCTGCTTTGCCTTCTAAATTTTAATAAGTTTCTAAATTACAACTATTCTTTATGGGTATTGATAGGTAACCACCAACAATTTATATTTGGAGAAAACCATTTCGATGGTTTTTTTTGGTTCAAGAAATAGATTCTAAATTAATCCATAAGAATTATAATTGATTGTTCTCTTCCACATGGTGTTTTAATCATTGTGGCACTATAGAATACTACTTAGAAGCATAATTATCTAGAGAGTTTTCTTTGCTATCCTATCTGCCTTCGATTCTCATCTTTTTGTTGGAATCTAAAGCAAACTTCTCAAATCATGAACGAAGCTGAATTATATCAGTAAGCGAGGTGTAGAGCAATGGCTATGTTTCTTCATCAGTGATTGTCGTTATAAACTCATTAGAATCAGATTCGAAAACGATTTATTTGTTTGCCAACTCTCTTAGTTCCAAATGTCTCAAGATGGATATTGAATACACGATGCAGGTTAGTGTACTCAGAGTCAGATCATTCACCATTAGGTGGCGCTGGGACACCAGAAAGTGCCCATAGAAGTCTAGCAAACATATATAGGAAGAGATGATTAGTGAATTCATTACTTGCCTGGCACCACACACATTCAGCCTCTTTGGAGATATGTCTTCGAGAGAGGTTCTTGGCTACTAGTAGACAGTTGCTCAAGCATCTCCACAGAAAATGATGGATTTTTGGCATTGCCTCAGTTTGTCAAACCTGTTGAACAGAGCATCGAGACTGGGTTGGGTTAACTCGTGCATCCTTTACTTCTCATGTTGCAATTGTAACATAACCCAATACCTAGACTTGATAGAATAGTGTCCAGTTTTAGTGTGATCCCAAGCAAAACAGTTCTCTGTATATTTCCCTCACAGCCTTAGTTCCTCTATTAGTCTCTTCTCTTCCTCCAGGAACAATATTGAGAACATCTCTTGGTTCCACTCCTTTCCATTTTCCTCAATGAGCTCATTAACCTTCATATTTAATGGATTGTTTAGAAGGAAGTTTTGTGGGATCATTTTCATCACTATTGCAGGTCTAGCAGGCTTTCGACCTAGCCAGGAGTCATGCCAAATAAGTGTATCCTCACCACTGCCCACTATTTTCCATGCCCATTTTTTAATGAGTTCATGGGCATCATGGATACTTCTTCAGGCATAGGATGGCAGGGTGACAGACAAGAGTTTATTGGACTCTTAGGGTATCAATCCCCTTTATCTGTTATAACATAAAGGGATATCAATCCAATAATATTGTTTACCACACTAATCTATCATGTTTGTATCTTAATCCAAGCAAATCAAAGAGAGTTGGTTGTAACAAGTAACAAATGAAGGCTAAATAAGTCTAAAACAAGATTAAAAGGCAAACAAAGCAATAAGCAAAGACAACAAATGATTAAGATGATATGAATATAATGAAACTTAGAGGTCTAGACATGATAGTTGACTAGGGTGCATCAGGATTTAATCAAGCAGTTAATGACAATGATGATGAATGATCTAAGCAGCTTAGGATTCAAAGCAAGTTTCAATCTTTCTCAAGCATCAAAACAAAATTTCAAACATTGCTCATACCTAATCATCATTAGAGGCACAATGAAAGAAATGCATTAAACACCAATCCTAATATACCATCTATGCTCAAAACAACATTCCCATGTGAATCAAACAATAGATTTCATCAAACACATTTTGGGTGGATGAATTAAGATATGGGTTAGAGAGATCATCTAAAACCCAGCATTAAGATCAGCTAAACAAGACAGAGATGCATAAATCTAGTCCTAAGCATGCTTAATCAAACCCCTAAGCATCCTAACCTACATGTCTAGAACCCTAATGAGGTGACTACTCAATAATCATGATTAACTCTCTGATTCCTTTGCAAGAAGAGTAGTTAAGCATGCTTAGTTGATGAAAATAGATAGATGATGGATAAATGATGATGAAACACTCAAGAACTCTTTTGGATTAAGCAAAGAAAGGAGATTTCTCTCACAAATATTTCTTAACACAAAAGAGTCAGAAATTTTAAGAGAATAAAAGGTGTCATTGGAAAAAAAAAACCCTAAAAAGTATTTATAGATGTCTGGTTCAGACTGGGTCAGCCCATGATAAACTGGGTACTGACCCGGTTCAGTTAGATCGTCTGGCTAGTGTGCGAGATATGGTTCTAGCTCACCCACACTGCAATGTCGCACTGATCCTGCTGCTTGTTCTTGCGGGTCAGTTCCTTGCTCCTTCAGCCACACTCCCATGTCGGATCTAATTGTGAATGTTTGTGCGATTCAGGTTGTCTTTCTTTCCCACTCGCACCTACCATCTCGCAGCCTGGAGAGAGTATGTATGCGAGATGGTTCATCTCACCTCCCAGTCGCACAACCATCTCGGAGACATTTGTGAATGTTTGTGTGACATGGTTCGCTCCTTTTCTCACTCGCACTCCAAAGTCGCATAGCCTTGTGGATTTAGCATAATTTGAGCTTTGGAAGTCTCTACCCTGCTCTGAGTCGCCTTACCCGCACCATTTAAATTGCAGATTGCTCCCAGAGTTTAAACCTTCACTGCTGCGAGTTAACCAAGCCGCACAGCCATGTCGCAGCTTTTCTCATTTTCTCGTACCAACTTTTACTTGAACAAGCATAACTCGTGGGGTATTAATCCAAATGACTCGGGACAAACTCCAGAAAGAAGGCAGCTCGATTGCCTGAAACGTTTATGAAGAACTTGAGTGCATCCGGGGTGAGGGCCTTCCGGTAAACGGGTTTCTGCATCAGCTCGGGAGGCTCCGGTTTCTTGCTGCGAGACATGTCTGGCTCCTGATTGTGATATTTCCTGACTCAGCTCCCCAAATAAGATGATTCTAAGCATTCTGGAAAGAAAACCTAAAGCTATCAAATCTTGATGAAGGCCCCGGAAACTGGATGGAAAGGGAAGGGCCTCGTCCTGAGTGATCTTTAAGGCACATCGGATCGGTCCGGAATGGATGCAAAACAGGTTCGTCTTCTGTTGGCCATAACTTTCAGCTCACTGCTCCAAATCCATTGATTCCAACTGTTTTGGAACCTCTTGAACTTTTCTGAAGACCCCGGAGACTGAATCGGACGGGAAGGCTTCCCAGTAACGCAATCTTTGGTGCGTATCGGAATCTGGTAATTTTGGCCGAGGTTTCATGTACCGGTACAGCACTTTAGCCGATAAAACTCATTTTCCCCGGCAGGAGATTTTAGCCGATGTTGCTCGATCAGGTACATCACTTGGGCCGAGAAAAGCTTATCGGGAAGGATTTTTGGCCGATAAAATCCTTCCTGCAGTAAGCGTTTTAGCCGATAACCTCCAAAGCCCAATTTCCACCATTTTTCCACTTTCTTTCACCATTCTTTCACCTGATTCCATCTTTTCCACTCCAAATGACCTCCAAAGCACCTGATTAACACTCCAAACATGCAAGACTCACTTGGACCTAATGCAAAGTCCTAAAACTCTAAAACAAGTATAAAACATGAAGAATCTATCTAAAATGTATGAATGAGACTCAATTCTTGGACCAAAAATGCATCTTAAACATGCAATTATATGAATATATCAACTCCCCCACACTTATCTTTTGCTTGCCCTCAAGAAAACAAGATATTCAGAGAGAGGGTTGGAGTTTGGGAGTTGCACATTTCTTAAAAGAGAGAGAGTTGATCATCAAAAGAGTTCAAGCTCATGGTCCTAGTTACTAGTTCTGGGATGCAATACAAGGAATACTCTGGATGCAACAAATTCAAACCTTGACCTACACAAGCATTCTTATCCTTCAGCCTTTTGACATTCATTAAGTTGTAACCATGTGGATCTAGTGATGCTTATTCAAATGAACTTGTTTGGTTTAGGGATGAGGTTATGAGACAAAGATGGTCTTATTCAATGCTTATGGGTTCAATGCAGTCCAAGGGATCACTCAAGAAGGAATAAACTAACAGAATGCTAAGGGTAAAAAGCAACTGGTGCATACAAGAATAGACTCCCATCTACCCAATGCCCTAAATTGATCTTTCACCTTAACTCTAAACCCATGATGAACACTCCTAAACTACCCTTTTTCCAAGGCTTTCATTACCTTCTCAACCCACTCTCACTTCCTTTTCATCCTTTCTCACTAGGAGATTCAACTTTTATTTTCAACATTGGCTTTGGGGTCTAAACTTTTCACTCATCTCTTTCTCACATAGCACACTCTAGCCTCTTTTCTTATTTCTTTAGACACTTGAGCCACTTTCTTTTCTTTTCTATCCCCTAGCTCTCATCACAAACTCTTTTTTTTTACTCACTGAATCCTAAGTTCCCTTCCTAGCCTACTCTAGTCTCATGATGCAGAGCTAGATCTACATGAAAGCATATTCTTGTCGCTCTAAACCCAACACTTTCTGTCAAGTTTATTCAAAACAAGGCCCCACATTGCTCACTAGAGTGTTTAGGCTTCAAAGATGGCTTAGTTTAAGGTAGGGAAAACTGTCTCAATGATGGAGATCAGCTACTTGGGTTAACAAGAGTGGCAAAAAGGAAAAAGACAACCCAAATATGTATAAGTATTCATAAGTCCAATCTAAACAAGCATCACATGATAATTCAAAGTTAGGTTAAAAGTTCCACTTGCTAAGGCTGAATTCAATTCAAAGCTTGCTTCAATCAAGGTCTAAACATTATCACACATTTCATCACTTGCTAACATCAAAGAACTAATAACTATGGCCATGAACTAAACTCTTAAGATGATGCTCTCTCAAGAAACCTATCAATACTATCATGCAAATGATACAACCTATATGATTATGCAACATTAGACTCAGTCTTAAAATGTGAATGCAACTAAATAAACATTTTTTATAAAATTTTTTCAGATT